CACGGAGAGAGTAACATATCAGTGCGTCATATTTTAACCGGACGACGCAGATCTCCTCTTCCTACAGGGACGCCCCGTGGTGTCGAGCGCGCGCGGCATGTCACGAAATCGTGACGTTTTTGATCCTGAAGTCAGCCGAGGAGAGAGAGCTGCCCCGTTCCAACACCTTCTAGAAATAAGGTTGTAGCGCTCTTCTCGTGACGTCGCAGAGGGAGGCCATCGGGGGCGCGCGTCGAAGCGAAGGCAAAGCGCGTGGATCGGCCGTCGTAACGCGCTTTTCGTCACATACACGTGTCTTATTAGCTAAAATGAAAGCTGCACATTGCAGCGGGTTTAAGAAACGATTTATTACATAGGAAAAACATTACACCGCTAAATAATCGATTAGAAATGGCATGAGGTATGCGTAGAAGACATCTATAAGAAATTGTGATTGTTTTAGGTAGAAGATATTAAGTCACGCAATTATTGCTGTAGGAATGCATATTTTATACAGAACTATTTCGACAAAATGTCGAGAAACGCAGTGATTGGATACAGCAGTACACATCAGTTAAAAATCATGTAGACGTAGCCAACGCGGACACGGCTCGGCAAGTGTCACTTACGATCATGTAAGCGATGTTATCGCATACAGTCACTGAATTAAAATGTATGTAATTTCGATCGAATGACAATATGGGGTCGACAAATCAGTTTGCGACGCTCGTATAATCACTCACAACAGCGAGCTGATTAAATCCCGTATTATTTAATCAAAATATAACTTTTCCGTGTGGCAGGGCTGCTTAACTTACTATTTACACTCAACTACTTCACTTCTCCCTTTGGGCTCGAGCTGCCTAAGAACAAATATAACCTATTTTGTATACAATAATACTATTACCTTAATACAGTTAAGATTCCAGTATAAATGCGGTAAAGGCAACAAAATAACATTAGTATAAATAAAAACATTAGCACAAACAACGCACTTTTAATAATCACACACACTTGTTATTTACTTTCCAGTAAAAACTAAAATATTACCACGCATATTTACAAATGTCGACGCAATAGCAAACGGTTAACGACGAAGAACAAATTCTATTCTATCACGAGATTAAAAAAAAAAGCGACTGCAGCACTCTATTTGCGTCTTACATGCCAAGAAATCCCGTAAATAAGTTGTTTCCAACCTGTTGATCGTATCCATACGTTCCACAAGAGCCATCACGAAAACATTTGAACACGAACTTCAAGAAGTCTCTCTTTGTCGAGAGAGAGGCCATCGACCAGCGTTATCATTGACTAGTTGTCACACACGTCACTCAAACCGTAGCAGGACTTGTTTCGCGAGTCCACGTAAATGGCGTAGTATGAAGCAAAAAAAAAAAAAAAATTATTTGAGATTGCGGTGACGACAAAAAAAACGACGGGTAGGAGGACCAAAAGAAACACACACACACACACACACACACACACGCACGCACACGCACGCACGCACACACACACACACACACACACACACACACACACACACACACACACACACACACACACACACACACACACACACACACGAGCAGCAGCATTGTGTGGGACGAGAGGCTTAACATTGTCGACCCATCTCTTGCTTGTGTGCGCTCCCTGCGGCGATGACTTGGTTTTTTTTTCGGTTCCTTTCCCTTCTGAAATGTCTCAGCGTTCCTTTTCAGACAGTCAGCAGCTCACACACAACGTAAATTTACCAGAATCGGAGCCCGTACGAGGGAAGAAGATGTCGCATTGGAAATAGGGAGCTGGTTCATTCGGAAAGTGTGGGGAGCTGAGGGACTGCGCGTAGTCCCGCGGCTCCCCCCTTTAATATACGTGCTTAAAAAGTATATTAATGTCGTCTAAACGCGCGCGAACACCACCGAGCCTCTCGAAAAGAAACTTTTTTTTTTGTTCACGTCGATATGCGTCGATAGCACAACTTTTTTCACGTAGTTGCACCATGGCCTTCCTTCCTCCGACATTGAGACGTAACCACTCGGAGCGCTACGGCCTTATTTCCATCAGGTGTTGCCCGTTCCCGGGCAGCTTAATTCTCTCCTCGGCCACACCTCCTTTCCCCGTCTTTCCTTTCCTCCCAACATTCCTCAGTAACCAGGGCAAGGGGAATCCTCCGGCGCGGGAAAGGGGGGGAAAGAGGACCAAGGACATTATGAAAAAGGTTATTTATTTTTTTTTTTTTTAATTTTAATATGCCTACAACTTTTAAATTAAAGTGAATTTCGAGGAAAAAAAATCACTAAGTTACTACTTTCAGTGCGCTCCGGTTCGTTTCAAATTAAGAAACAGTAAAAACTTCGTCGCACGGCCCCTTTTATAGTAAGAAATAGTTCATTTACGTATGTTTTATTATGCTCGTATTTCACCTTTTATTCTTAATTAGGGATCCACGTTTCCGGTAAATGCCGATAAGTCCGGAATTGAAGATAACTTTGAAAAATAAAAACACAAGCGTCCCCTTAAATATATTCTTGTCTAGAGTTTTAGTTTCCCTTGACTAAAAAAAAACATCCCGTACTGAGACTTGAACTAAGCTGTTCCGCCCCCCCCCCCCCACCCCCCTCCCCCTTGATTAGGTCTTTTTCCTGTACCGGGATGTTTTCCGAGAATTCCGGTCACGAGTGTGTACCCTGAAGGTTGGGGAATCCCACAACAGCGTCCTTTTTTGTTCAACATAATTCCCGACAAACTCCAACTTTTGTCACTATTTAAATAAAACAACACATCCAAAAGACAAAATTTTAGAGAAAACGTTTAGATATTTATGCTGGCAATCATTACAACTTGTACCACCTGCTTCCAATAACTAAATTGTCAAAGAAATAGCAAACGCTGGAGAGGAGGCCACATTCTCTCCATCGTTCGCTCTGCTAAGGTGAAAAGAAGTGGCAGAAGCCCGCCCCCCCCCCCCCCCCCCCCCAATAAATGTTGCCCCTGTAACCAGCTCTAAACTTTTCAAAAAGAAAAAAAAATATATTTGGAACCGTTATTTTGCGACTGTCACGATCCCTAGCAGCCAGAAATCTCAATCAACACTATGGGCTGTGGAAACCCGGCCAGCTCGACAATCCACCTGCCTTCTGTTCGGAGTTCGCCGGCCTTTCTTGAAAGTTTTACTTTATTTGGCTATTCAGGATGCTTACGCTTTTTTGTGTTATCTTCCTCTGTGAAAACCAGAGAATACCGAAGCTCGTAGCCTGCTTGGTCTCCGCGGGGAACGAACTAAAAAAGCCATTGTTGACTGGCCCGCCGTTCGTCGAGGCGAACGTCGTTCGTCGACGTTCGTCGAGGATATTTTCGCTGAGATAATTTCCCGGAAAGCCTTCGTGGTCTTCGCGAAAAATGGCTGATTGGGTGCGGGGTAGGAGCCAGAGCAGACTCGTCAGTTCATTTGCTTCAGTGTTGTGCAAAAAAACAAGCTCCCCCCAAACGTGCATTAAAACCAGTTTGAATTTCATCCGATCAAAGTGAAACGAATGTCGTCGCCAAAGTAGAGGGGACATGCTGTGTTACTTGAGTTCTTTCTCAAATAAACTCTGCTCGGATTATACTTTTCATAAAATTTCATTCGCCATAAACAAGAAGAAAAAAAAATAAAAAAGCCGCACTTTATACTTCACCAGTGTCCGGAAATTGCGCCTACACAGGCTGCCGTGGCCCACTGACGAGAAAACCTTAGCCCAGCGCAGTCGGGCAATGCTGACGTACACTTTGAAAACCAGGGACGCGCGCTATAAACCGCTTTGTTCGAGTTTGCCGCTAAAAAGGTCTATAAGTAAAGCATCTGACACATGCATCCTGGATGTTTTATCTGCTACCAGGACTTTTAGCAACAGTCAGTTTCAGTTGCTAGATAAAGGTGGTGTTTGGCACTAGGCTTTGCTGATTAGGTTAATATTCCTTACGAAGTTTTTGCGCTTGTAACTATCACTAGCAAGTGAATTACCGCTAACATTTCCTAAAATCCTTGTAGCACACAGTTAATTAACTGTGTGCTACAAGGATTTTTGTCGTGCACTTCTTCCTGCTATAGTTCTGAGCAAAAGCAAACAGTCACATTGTACGAAGTGTTTTTCTTAAGCTTTACAGATTCGTTTAAAAAGTAAAACATGAAAGCTACACCTGCGCGGTTTGATGAGGTATGTTATAAGGCCAGGGGATGTATTATTGGTGGGTAATCGTAAAGATCATTCTTCTGAATAAGTATAATTTGTTGATTAACTTTTTAATTTGTGAAAATAAACATATGGTTCCAAATAAAAACTTGTTAACCATGATCGAAGGCCACTAAATCAACTCGTTTAGGAACATATAAGACAAAGGCAGGATTTTACGGCTTTCTGAAAAAACGCTCAGTTTGGACGCGTTTCTATGTTTCGGTTTCTTACCGGAGCGCATCTGCCCCCGCGGTCCTGCAGCCTGGTGGTCGTGGCGCGAAGCCACCCCCTCGCCTCCCTCGTAGGATAGAGAGAAGTAGGGCGCTCATGTGTTTCGCGTCTCAGCCACTGGGAATAAGGACCCCGGGCACAGAGATGCGCACCGATAAGAGACCGAAACCTATATACGCGTCCAAATGAAGTGTTTTTACGGAACGCCCTAAGATGCTGCCCTTGCGTTATATGCCCCTAAAAAGAGTTGATTTAGTGGTCTTCGAGCGTGCTCAGCATGTTTCTAATTGGAACCATATGTCTATTTTCCAAAATTACAAAGTTAATTATCAAATTTTACTTAATTAGCTAACTGATCGTTACAAATAGCCCCTGATACTATGTCCCCCTGGTTGTATAACTCACCTGGACCAACCGCCTAGGTGTAGCTTTCACGGCCTTTTTTAAACAAATTTGTAAATTTTAAAACAATACCCTGTATAAAATAACCAATGCAGTATTGGAAAGGTATCATTTGCATTTATTGGGTTATTACAAGAGTCCAAACTTTAGAGCCGTAGAAAATTATTGCTACGGCTATACTTCCCCCGCATATGGCCAACAGTCTTTCAATTTCGTAAAAACCTTTGCTGGTGTTTTACAATAAACAGTGTAGATAAAAAAGCAGTAGCTATTGACGACTCCATTATTATAGCGACCACCTGTGAATAATTCGCACACTGTAAAGAAGAAGGAAAGAAGAATATGAGACAAGATTTTGTTTTGTTTCAAAACATGCAGATATGAATTTCACATTACGAATCTTTTTTTTTTCATATTTTTGTTGCAATCATGTTAGAAGAATATATTTTGTTGAATTATACTCTCGAGCTTGGTCCACCTTTCTATAATCAACATGCGATATTTGCCCAATGTCAAACGATGCAAATTTACGCTTCCAATTCACGTGGAAAGATGTGGTGAGTTGTAAATAGTTCATATTTAATTTCGTAGATATCGCGCTGCGTAGTGGATGTTTTTGTTTCTAGACTTCAGCTCAATGCTACACGGGAGATCGCAGGCCCATGACTTCACGCGAAGTTAACTGGTTATTCATTAAAAATTTAATTGCCTTAAATGGTATCCGTAAGCGCACTGCACGTGGCCAGTGAGTAGCTATATTAATCGCAGTTATCAAAGTGAAGTTCTTCAGTGGGGAACGGCTCATGTAGGATGCTGAGTGTGTAAGTTGAATTTAACGTTTGGCTCGAACTGACGGTGACGTTTGATTCCATGGTATGAAATTTTAAAACAAAAATCATAAATCTGCTACAAGTGCCCACACTCTACGAGTGTCATGCATCTGCAGACCAAAGACGCAGCACAGGGATTTGTTGCTGTGACCAAATTAAATTATCATTTTAAATGTAAAATAGCTTTCAAGTGAACTTCACCAGTGTGGCGTGTGTCTGAGAATCAAATCATTCGGGGTTTCGTTTTAAAAAGGCGGAGACCTTAAACTTAAGCTTAATGTGCCACTTTTTAAGATATTCAAAAGAGTAGAAAAGAAGCAAGAGCAAGGAAGAGGGCAGAGCAGTTTAGATAGAAACCACTCAGGAACACCTGGACGGGTCGAGACAAGCAGAATGTGCTTAAAGTAGAGGTGGAGAAAGTGAGTGATATTAAGCCATGGCTGGAAGGCTCCCAAGAGAAGCCGAAATCAGAAGCGGATGATGGGGCGTCGTGACAGCATCTTCCTCTATACGCGTTTTAAAGTGCCTATCTCCCATCCTCTACCCCCAAAAAAAAACGCATGTTTTTTTTTGGACAACTAACACCGGCCTGTTTAGTTGTCCAAAAAGGAGGGTAGCGGATCCTTGGAGAAACAGCCCCTTTATGAGAAAAAGAAAAACACAATAAATCACAAAAAATGGCACAAGAATAATCAGAACATACAGACGCGCCAAAAACGAGCCCAGTAGTACCGCCGCATTATTTAACGTTTTTCTGGTTCTCTGCATTTATGTATATAAATACGTCCAACCTTGACAAGGTCTTTACAAAGGCGCCAAAGAAGACATTGACAAGAAGGATACACTGGTGCGTGGCCACAGCTGGGTATGATGGCTGTGCTCCTGCTGAAGAGTACTAGGGTGGATTTAGTGCAGTTTTGGGGCGTTTTTTTATGATATCTTCTTAGGCGTGCAATCGTATGCTCAAAAGAAGCATATAAGGATTGCTGCGAATTCGCCGAGTGAATTTTGTTATTAGCTTTTGTCATAATTGCTGACATTGACAGGTATTAAAAAAAGTTTTGAGTATTTCAGAGAAGCGCACAGGAAGGAAACTGGTGCATACTTTTTTTCCTACCAAAAATCCCCGTTTTTGTGAATGGGCACCAAAGGTACCACATCCAAATTCTTTTAACGAAATGGAAGACTCCGGGTTGAAAGGAAGGTTTATAATATGCTCCCAAAACGCAAAAGAGGCAACTCGCCGCAGCGCTTAACCATGAAATTCGGTATGCTGTCAGCACAACTTGAAGGCTAGCTTTGACTTTAGTTCTCTAAGCGCGTTGAGGTTAGGGTCTGAAGTTCTGAACGTAGTGGCAATAAAACGTGTATTAAAAAAAGCCCCAGATTTTGTTTTGAATTACATGCAAAAAAATATGTATACAAAGCAGTCAGTCGCTTTTTAGTGAGGGAGGGAAAAAATGGAAATGGGGTATTTTATTTTAATTACAAAATATTTGTTCTATGAAAGCCGTGAAAGGTTCACTAGTACGGTTTGTGCAGGTGAAATATACGGACAGGGGCACACAATATAGGAAAATATCCGTCACGATTAGTCGGATAATTACAAAAAGATATATGTTAATAATCTTTTTTTTAATTATTTAAAACAAACATATGGTTCCGACTAGACACTTGTTCAGCGTCATCCAAAAACACTAGATCAGTCAATATTAGAATGACTGGGATCTTGTGGTTTGCGTGGGGGCGCGCTAAATTTTCCATTCGTGCGACAGGCGCGATGCTGGCGATCACAAAACACGGGTGAAGAGATTATCATACGAGTTTTTGGATGTTCCCCTGACCGTACAACTCACACTGACCACAGTAGTGTCCCTTTCAAGGCTTTTTTTAAAGAAATCTTAACAAATTAAAACCTTACACCCCGTATATGCATATATTAGTTCCAGCCCTCAGTGTACAGCATTTGGTATGACCCTGATGCGGTGTCCAATGACCCGCCATATCTTGCCTGTCGTGTCGAAGAAGTCATTCTTCACGCACACATGTCTTATTTTCGTCATTCTTGTCCAGCTCGCTTGCCCCTTTGCATTTAATTGCATTATAATTATAACATGTCTTATGTTTTACAACGATTGAGTTTCTATTAATAAATCGGGTGCGTGGGCTAAAAAACGGCATTTTATTTAATGGTCCTGGGACCCGAAGACGAGGTTAGCGCCTTAAAATAAACGAAGTTACAATACTCCTTGGTGCTTTTAAAGTTATTTCCTAGTCTTAAATATTAAGTTTCACTTCTTAGTAATTTTCCAAATGTTAGGTTCATATGCAGCTTATCAACTGCGTGCTAGGCTATTCAAATGAACATTCAGTACATCCATGAGCCCCAAAACTTTTATGCCGAGTTGATTGCATCTTTACTGATGAGCTTATTATGTCAAAAATAATGACGTGATGTTACAGTTAAAATTTGTATTTGTTTCAATTGAACTATAATGATGAAACTTTTTCGAAACTTAACGTTGATTCAAAAGAATATATTTGAGCATGCCAGTAATAAGATATAAAATGAGAAGCCATTAAGTTTTTTTTAAAAGGTGAGCGATATTAAAGTGTAATACACGCAAACTTACGGTTACTATATCCAGGAGTTCTTAGTATAGTGCACCGTTTCTGATCCGTGAAGATCATCCTTGTGCCATGAAACTCTATATTAAAATAAAAATAGTTGTAAATGCATAGAAATGTGTACTACGTGCATTAATCTTGAATTAGTTTTCCATACTGTCATTCCGATAAATCCTGGCTTCCGCTCTATACGTAGCATTGTGTCCAGTGGCAGTACGTGGTTCGAACGCTTGAGTAATGGCTCTGAAGAGGAAATTTTGCTTTGTTACTCTGCAACATCGCAGGTATGCGCTTGTTTGACAGAAACCGTTTATCTCACAATAAGACTAAGGTTCTTGGGGGGTCACAATTGTGAAAGTACGAACGCATGGCATGCCTAAAGTAACCTTAATATTAGGGACCATAGCACACTATAGCATTTCTTCTAACAATATTGATCGTCTAAAGGAGGCATGCTTGGGAGAAGAGCGTGTTGGTTTAAGTCATGAATGAAGAAAGAATAAAACAATTGAAACAGGGACAACACAACCACATATTTAAACTAGCAACAGACGAGTAAACTTTCAAACAGCGAGCAGCCGACTATACCCAGTAGGAGTAGGGGAGAGAAGGGGGAGAGAAGGAAAGAAAATTTTATCCGGTGGGCTGAACACAATTCAGCCCACCGGATAAAATCCATTGCCTCAAAGTTCGACACGAATGTTGTCTTCTCGTGCCGCACGTGTCTTAAACAACTATGTCAACAAGTAAACAACAACCGGATTCCGATTGGCTGCACCGTCAAACACGAAAAGAAATTCATTCAATGCAAAGAGAAGAAAGTCTACTCCATCCGCTTGAGCTGCGGCCATCAATACATAGGACAAACCGGCAGATGCACCAATCACAGACTCCGCGAACATCACAACGAAGTTTCTAAGGCCTCTCCAGATTCTTATCATCCCATAGTCATACATGCCCGTTCGTGTTCGCGTTGTCATCCCCTCTTTGATGACACAAAAATCCTGGGGGGGGGGGGGGGGGGGGGGGGCATGACAGCAGATTCGGCAGGGAAATCATAGAATCATTCGCGATGACCACAGCAAAAAACAACGTGTCTAACCCTTCCCTCCTGCTGACGAAAACTGAGGTTGAATTTTTAAAATCCGAGATAACCCTACCACCCTGACTTGAACTTCGCGTTTCTTTTCTTTCCTTCTCTCCCCCTTCTTTCCCTACTCCTACTGGGTATAGTCGGCTGCTCGCTGTTTGAAAGTTTACTCGTCTGTTGCTAGTTGAAAGATGGGGTTGTGTTGTCCCTGTTTTAATTGTTTTATTCTTTCTTCATCCATGACATAAAGGAGGTAATATCAAGAACCAGGAGATTGCTAAACGTGAGAAATTCGGACTCATTTTGGTTATGAAGCAAAGTCAAGTAGTCGCAATATAATTGATTCAATGTAAGAGCCATATCAAGGAATCGAATATGGCGTAGGATATACAAAAGAAAATTTACAGGTTTTTTTTCACCGCATCGCCGAACGCTCATTCTCCGCCCAAAGTGTAGCGCTAAAGATAACAACCAGATGCCAAAGTTTCAGTCCGATCTGATACCGTAATCAGAAGTTATAAGTGATTTTCTGAAAATTTCAATGGGAAAATGGCGGTCGACGGACTTTTCGAATACATGGGGCTCTATGGGCACCAGAAACCGACAACAGGTAAAAATGGGCTCCATTTTTGCATTGAAGTTTTCAGAAAATCACTTATAACTTTTGAATAAGGTATCAAATCGGGCTGAAACTTTGGCATCTGGTTGTAACCTCTAGCACTACCTTTGAATGGAGAATGAGCGTTCCGCGATACCTAGTTTTTTTTTTTTTTTTGCGGTGAAAAAAAACCCTGTAAATGTTCTTTTGTGACACCCTGTACATATATAGGTGCTGCCTTTCTACACTTTAGTGACTGTCAGAAATAAGCACAATGTCGTTTTCTAGGAATCGTCCGTTGGCTTCATCGCAACCTTGTAAATATTTAGACCTGAAAAATGCCAGGGAATGTTTTTCAGGAGAGTGGTAGACGATGAAAAGGCAAAATGTGAACATCAGGAGCTCCATCTTGTTACAAAGCAGCCGTCAAATCGCGCGAAAAACGGTGTGAAATGTTTTTTCTTTCACATTCAGTGAATACGTATGAGGATTGATTTTTGACGTTCTTAGCCTGCGAAGTACTCGTTAGTTTATCACTCCAAGCAATAACAATTGTTAAATAGATGAAAGAAGAACGAGTAGCAAAAACAAACGACCCCGTGCCAACAATATGCCGCCAATATTAGGCATTGCCACAGGCTGGGGTTTGCAAAGCGCAGGGCAAGTGCTCAGTTCAAGACATTGTTAGAGTTCAGTGCATGTTTCCGCTAATGCAGAAATCTCGGGGAGTCTACGCCGCCATACGTTCTCCGCAACAAGTTCTTTTTTTTTGGAGCAATGTAAATTCATCCGTTGCTATATTACTTTAAATTGTTAAAGTCTTGACATATATCCGAAGAAAATTGCAGCGCGATACTTGAAGAGAGCGATTTTTGCGTACCGTCTAAGGTGGGTTCGAGGGATTTTTTACACGCTGTACAACTTTTGTTACAATTAACGAAATTAAGTTGCTAAGCGTTATTTTTCAATAAAGTTAGGCTGTGTGCAGCTGGTGACACACTAAGAATGTAGCAACAAAGGGCCCTCAAAGGAATCCTTATTACTTCGCCAGACAAGCACTTTCACTAATCTTTCACGTCATTGGCTTCAATGCTTTACGAATAAACGTTTTTTTTCAATATGGCAGCACACACCTGCTTCTTGGAGTGATTTTCTCGTTGTTGACCTACCTGGGTTCATCAAGTAATGCCTCTTAGAAGATAAGGCCTGCGGTGTTTTCTGCAAACTTCATCACTAGTGCATGCACGCAGCGCTGCCTAGCTTGCGTTAGGCTGGCTGACTGCGTGTCGTGCAGCGGCTCACAAGTAGCGCAACGCTAGCACGCAGTGACGCCCGACGCACGCGGTTGACGCTTTTCACACTAGTCGAGTTCAAGCGTGTCTGTCACTCAAGTGTGTTGGGGAGTCACTAACGGTAATGTGATGCGCATGCCTTGTCTTTGGTGATATTGGTTAAAGTCACAAAGTCGTAATGGGATCAGTCTTTTTTTTCTGCCCTAGCCTTTGTGTGACGACATGAGAAATTAGAGGTTGTGTCTCTGTCAAAATGTTCAGTCTGCCATTTGGTCGAGGAAGTAGGTCTAGTGAAAGACGTGACTACGGTTGACACGCTTTGTCTGTGCCCATGGCTTTCCTTCGTTCGTTTCCTACCTGCCCCTGACAAAAGTTATGTCGCTACATTTTAGCGATATGAGCGCTTCTTCGCGGATGATTCTCCTAGGGTGTGGTCAAAACTCCTCTTGCACAACCATCAATGCGTGAGATTCTTGACTGACGACTCCGCCTTGGTGCCTCACCGGACTTCGTCAACTCTTCTGTTGACTTTATTAAATGAAGGACGCTCACTTAACGTTGTCTTTAAAGTAGAAATTATTCATCTGTGAAAAGTGGCGCCGTCGCAAGATTCTTCATTGCGTTCAGTTGCCTGGCAAGTCAGAAACGCAATGATTGGCTTGCCTCAGGGATGGACAGTATTTCAAATACAAGTATTTGAAATACGTATTTCAAATACTTTGTGTATTTTGCATTTGTATTTAATTACAAATTGGGTGATGTATTTCACGTGTCTATTTAAATACTAACACGTGGGTATTTCAAATACAATTGTAATTAAATACAATTTTGTGGGCGAAAATACATCCCTCAAATTTATTGTCACGACTCATTTTGCTCATCCCAAGACGTGTCCAAAGCTGCTCTTTCTTCATCTCAACGCCAACGTCAACAACAAACCAAGAAACTCTTCACCTCTTCATACACCAGTCCTGCGGTAGTTCGCATCTCGCTCACTGCGGGCGCCCGGGCACGCCGGGCGCCCGCGGCATTTCCCTCTATTACGTTGAATAAATGTTATTGCCAAAGTTACAATTCTTGTTTTTATGCATGGGGTTGTAAGACATAGTCTCCATCCTTTATTCGGTCATGGGGCTTTTTTTCTTTTTCTCCTCCGGCTTTATTTTAAAGGCACTGTCCAGAGCAGGAAAAAAATTACGTTCTGTACGGAATGCAGTGTCTCTCAACCAAGCACAAGCGTTTAGTGACTTTGTGATTACGATGCTAGTCCAGGGCAAGAATAGTGACGAAATCGACGTTCACAGGCAGACTGGCTAAATAAGTGCCTGTGACAACTTGCGATGCTTTCCAGCCTGATTTCCATCCATATTTTTTCCTGGAACATTCTAAATGCGAGGGTCGTCCAGATTTTCGTAACTGGTGCGAGTTGCAACAATAAAAAATTCTCTAGCTGGTGCTGCGCGTTTTGGTCGTCTCAGTTCTTTGTTGGTCTATATTAAAATGTAATTGACAAAAAAAGCTGCTTGAAGCTCTGTAGTTTTTCCACCTATTACGTCTAAGCTGATTGCATTTTTTGTGTGATTATATTTCTATTACGTAACTAGAGCCTCGCACACTAACTCCCGAGTGTGCGATGCAAAATTAAAATGAGATACCCAGAAACCCGTTGCAGGTGCCCTGAAGTCGCTGACGCAAATTTTGAGGAATGTATTTGGAGGAGACCAAATACATATGGTTGTATTTGTATCTTGTACTTAAATGCTTTTTTAGAAATGTAATTAGATTTGTAATTAAATTTTTGACGAAGTATTTTGTATTTGTATTTCGATACATATTTGCATGTATTTTGCCCATCCCTGGCTTGCCTATAACAGTGACATATGAGGGCCTCGTGCGACGGCTTGCGACAGTGATACAACTGTATTCCTCTGTAAACCTTTGACGACCTGAGGCAGAACATTTTCCCGGCACTCTTTTCAGTATCATGCGAAGTCATGCAGATACATTTGCCTCTTTGCGACAATGTCGTCCTGCTTGATCAGCAGCGAGCTTCAAACCATTTGCTGGTGCCTAAAACTAACGTTATCAATGTCGCCCTCTCGCGGTGCAGACGACGCCGTATTTTCGCAACAGTGGAGGTACTTGAAGGGGGCGTGTTACACCTGTTAACGGAGTACGCACCGCATTCTTAGCCTGTTCTTGACAATAGTATGCGCAGTAACAAAACTAGCGGGGAACGTGTCAAAAGCCGCTTTCCCCAGGAAACTGCCGAGCGTGGGACATCTTTTCTTAAACGACGTGGCTCTTCATTTATGCCACAATGCCAGATAGGCTTGCGATGATTCGCTTCCCGCGACTAAATTTTTTAGATAGGACATTCAGTGCTCTTTTGCTAAAATTGCAGCTTGGGCTAGTTGAATAAACATATTGCTGACTTCACAGCGCACAAATATAGCACACACACTGGTATTTTAGATAACTACACAACGCGGGATGTATATTGCCGCCCGCAGGGTCGATAAAGAAACGCTCGGTCACGGACTTCTAGAGGATTCGCGTTCATTCTCGCACCAGACGTAACTTTTCTCCTGCTTTCTTGTTCTCGAAAGTGTCAGTTCATCCTCGCCCCGAGCGCGCGACGCTCGAACTTTCTTTGCCGAACTTTCAAGATAGTGACGCACGGTAGATAAGCAGCTGCCCGCGACCTTGTCGAGTCAGTCTCCTTAGCGCTCTGTAGTGCCACCGAATCACCACCCGCTTTTCTGCTGCCTCGACGCTTTTTCGTCACTTATTGTTGTTTGGCACAAGTTCGCCAATGGACCTTTTCCGAGAAGCGTTCTGCGCACGCGCGAGCGCCCGATGCCAAGCGGCGGAAGTCGGAACGAAAAATCGAGGAAATTCGGAAGGAGGCTGTATATCAGCGAGCAGAACACGTAACTGAAGCATATATATAATTGTGTTACACAAAAAACGAACGTCGACGGAAAGGAAAACACGACGTTTTGGTGGACGCCATGGATGCTCCTCTTTAAAGTCGCGTTGGGCAGGCGCCGCTGCTCAGAGAGCGAAGAAACTGGTAGCGTAGCTCCCATTATCGATTGGTAGCACAGGTAGGTCACTTCCTCGATTTTTAGTTCGTGCAGCCACCGCCTGGTGCCGTCGGTATGTGAAAAAGGTCCATTACCTTTATCCTTCAGTTCACTGTTCGGCTTCTCGTCACCTCCATTCATGACAATATTGCGTGTTTCTCTAAAATACTAGTGTGTGTTATGTTTGTGCAATATGAAAACAGTAGTATGCAATTTCGCGTTCAGTTTCGGTATCTAAATGTTCACCTCGGCTTAAATTGAATAGAAAATAACGGGGAATGTGATTGAACTGTTTTGATTATTACAACATGCAACAGGTCCCGAAATGATATGTGCAAGCTCCAGGTTTATCTCCAAACAACAAAAAATGTGACGAATAACTTTTTAAAATATTTTTTGCGGATTTTTTTGGCGGAGTTCGCTCTGCGTGTTGCATCAAAACAGTGGCTTTTGCGCCGGTCGCAAAGTAACTGAGCAGCAGGACGAAATTTGTCGGTTGTTTGGCGAATGTGTGCTCCGTGGAGTCTATTCTTATATAGGCATATTTTTGTAGTCTACTTTTTTGATTATCACTCTGCACTTTTAACCTGACGTTCGCAGCTGTTGATAAAGTTATCATGAAAGATTAATTTTCATAGTCTAAGCGCTCATCATCAAACTTTTTACAGCCGTTGTTGTAACGCCATCTATATTAAATATTTTATCCCTTGTTTGCACCCCGGCCCATGGAACTGAATACATTAGGAACTACTACATATACAATCTTAAATTGCGAAATGTCGCAGGACCTTGCTTTTTTCACGTATTTATTATAATATATTGAGTAGAAGTAGTCGACAAACACGCAAACAGCAAAGACGCAGAACTGCAAAATTCCGTTAGATTTTTTTTTTGTGCGGATTTTTGCTTGGGAACTTTTGTTCTGTGGACATTTCGACCCAGACCATATTTACCTGGACTATTTTGACCGAGATACTTTTTCCCCGGAGCTGTTTTGTCGTGATCTCGCCTAATATATCTACAGCATTTGTAAACAAGTACGCAATTTCTGCGCAATTTGCTTATGCCTAAAGCCTGATCCAGATGGTGTGATTTCGCTTGAGATTTTACAGCTGCCACGTTGGACAGTGCAGCGTCCAAGACGCGTTACTTTGCCGCTGGAGTGGCGTCGAGTCTCGAAATTGCAAGCAAAATCGCACCACGTAAATCAGGCGTAATTTTGCGTTTTTCAGAACAAGTTCGATTCCACTCTGAAGTAAATGTTTAGCACTTATCCTAGTCTAGCATTGCTTGAACTCGGTCGTGGTGCGAGTAAACTCATTAAAGTAAACTTACAGAAACAGGTAATAACTTTTATGATAGCCTTTCCCTTGGATCTCACATCAGCAGGAGTACTGGGTCTTACATTATGGCGAATCCTATTTTCTGTAACAATTGTACGCGCAGTGTGCACACTGCCCCTGCTTCGTGGAATAGCACAGCGGCTGCACATACGAAAGAGAGAGCAGTTATAGCACTACGGTGTATAAGCGATCTACCTTAATTTGGCTGCTTTGTGGTTTTGAGCCTAAAATAACAAACTAACACATAACTGCGGTTAAGAACAACATATTTATGAAATTGGTGTTTATTAACGTTCTTTAATTGCTATAGACTCGGCCGTTTAATTTCTCAGAAAATAAAGAAGGCCGGTAAAACACACAGGGAATAAATAATATAATAAACTTGCTTTTTGGATCCTGTTTTGAGAATATTGAGCTGCCCGTCAGGTTTTGGGTCTCTGTTCGGATAGTATGTAATCATGCATAGTCGAGAACTGTCTTCTTCCAACGAGGAGTACACCAGTACAAGACTGCCGTACAGGAGGCCCTGAAAATGCGTCCCTAGTAATTACTTCACGAATTATAATGTATAATAGAATAAACGTTAAAAGGCAAATATTGAAAGGGACATCTTTGCTCTGATATCTTGGGCGTGCAAATTACGCATACAGTGTTTTGAACGGTTCCTATTTAACGGACTAAGTTACCTGAGGAAAATCTTGATACTTTTGAAGCAGTCGATGTCTTTCATGAAGTGGCACCTTAAAGATAACAAAAAAAAATACGTGAAGTTGTTATTAACGTTCATTTTTATAGAGACTACGGATTAGTTCCACCTAGCCGGACAACCGTATGTGCATCTATTTACCTCTACAGCGCTGCCCAAATATTAAGCAGAACAAACTGTGGTAAACACCCACGTTATTTACAATGTTTGTATTGTGAGACAAGATAATAGTTGCTTTAACCTCCTGAGACCAGAAAATACAACATTTGTCCAATATATGGAACAAAGAATCTAAACCCACAGACAGTCTTTTCGTTCTTGAAACCCAATGCTCAACATTGTAGACATCTGGTGGCGCCATCTGTGAAGGTGCGTGAAAATCAATTCACAGGCGGGAGCGGTAGGGGCTTCCAAACTAGCGGTTTTCACTTCGAGTGCGTACTGCGGTGGCGGCCGAAAAAGTATGTTTTTGTTACTGTTTTTTCGGTTTTGGTGCTTCTTCCCTTTGGATGTCATTGTTAACTAACTACTTAGGGCACACGCCGCTATACAATGTTGGTCTCCAGTTGTCTTTGTTTTACTCTGACATTCTTGAGATTGCGATTTCCACTAGACGGGATAATGGGACGCAGTGAGAAGTTTGCCTGCCTGACGTAACATTCTATTGCTCCCGTGCGAGCCGCAAAAAAAAAAAAAAAAAAAAAAAGACCAGCTTTTGCACGTTTTACGCTGGATGTTAATATTTTGGGTTCGTTTAGGAGATCGAACACGCATCAGTGAAGAAGCTGCTGACCAAATACTTGAGAAAAGTTTGCAATGACAGACGTCTGACATCGAGTTGTCAGACAGTGATGATGGCACCGTTGAATACGATCCTCTGTTGGTTCCTGCTGAAGATGAGCCGGTTTTGCAGAGGGCAGCAACAGTGACGAATATTAGCCACAGGCTACTTCTGCTACAAAAAAGAGACTATCTTTGTGTAAAGTCAGTCAGATGTGAAATTTATCTGCTATGAAGATACATATTAAGAAAATATACGTATGAAAATTTGCTTGTTCTACGTTGAGAGCTGTTTGCAACCTAATATTAAGGGCGAGATGGTTAAAACATTGCGCCCACCTCTAATTGGTGTTCAACTTTTTTTACGTATTGAGGAATGGTTTTGTTTTCTTTTTCTGACCGCTGTTTTTTTTTGCCATACTGCTAGCTTTGCCACACGTTGTTGCCTTTACAAGGTAATTTGCTGTGTGATCGAAAGGTTTGGTACATATTTCTAAGAGCTCTTAGAGTGTGGCTTTCAGTTCTCTTTTGTCTTGGGTACCGGATTTCCAAGCCGTTCCAAATGACGTGGGAGAGGGAACTGACTGGAGTACATATGAATATTTTCAGCAGTATTTCACTGACGAAATATATGCAATGATGTCAATGGCTATGAACACGAAATAAGTCGCTGAGACAGGAACGAGCCTTAACACCTCTGCTGATGAATTGAATGTTTTTTTCGGCATCTCAGCCGCTGTGGATTGTGTGGGTTATCTTCAGGTAAAAATTTATAGTATGAAAAGAATGAGGGTGCCACTCATCGCAAGTAGTGTGTAGCGCGACAGGTAATTTCAGCTCAGATCACCACTAAAAGTTGTGAACGACCTCAACATATCTGATGAAGAAAAATATCGGGACAGGCTTGGGAGGGTTCGGCCTCTAATTGCGGAGGTGCTGAAAGGTTGCCATAAACTCCCTCGTGAGGAACAGGCAAGCATAGACGAACAGATGATACAGTTTTGTGGCAGAACGCAACTAAGGCAGTTTCTACCAGGAAAGGAAAACCTTGAATGACTAAAAAACTTTGTTTTAGCAAGTCCGAGCGTTCTGATTCTTGATTCCAAGATTTATCAAGAGAAAAATCCCTTCCATGTCCGGGCAGTTCCGGGATTGCAAAATCGGCTGTCGTGAGGCATGCACAAAGTCTTGCACCTGGTACTAGGCTCTTCTTCGACCAGTACTTTACGTACCCAGCGCTTTTAGATAAACTCGTTGAAAAGGACATAGCGGGCACGGGTACTTTGATGGACAACCGCCTACCCAAGGGGGTGAAGCTATCGTCAGAAGGGCAGCTTAAAGCCAGAGGACGGGGGACCTCAAAGATGCTGGTTTGCAGTGGTGACCAACAGATTATCGTGCAATGGTATGACAACAAACCAGTGGCAATAATGCCACCCGTGCATGGGAAAGAACTCGAGGACATCTGCCCAAGTGGTCTGCGAAAGAAAAAAATATACACTAATGCTTCTAGGCCGCACATTATACAAGTCTACAACGTGAACATGGGGGTGTGGACATGACAAACAGGATGATCAGCTACTACCGAACAAAGGCACGAGTAAAAAAATTGACCATCAGAGTCATTTTTCGTATATGTTTGAAATGGCTCTTAGTAACGCGTAGATCCTCTATACGAAAGGCATGAAGACAATGCAAAACAGGTAAAAGGGCGTGTTGAAGTTCCTGGATTTTCGCGTTTTTGTTGGTGAAGTGCTTGTTACACAAGGTAGTCAGAAGGGCACCGACGAGGGCGATGCAGACTGGTGTCCACCAACAAAACAGGCACGCCTTTCCCCGGCCGAGAGCAGAGCCAAAACTCGGGGGCACATGCCGAGGTTTGCCGATGTTTCGAACGCTGCGCGTTGCATGCTAGAAGGGTGCAGTATAAAAACTATGTTCTTTCGCACGAAGTACTAGCCTTTATTTTGGATAACAAAAGAAAGGCGCTGTTTTGAGATGGCTCACTCGACCAAGTAGAACTTTCCTTGCTCTGAAGCGTTTTGTGAAAATATGTTTTTGTGACAAAAAGCTAATGAACATCTTTTTTGGGTATTTGTTATTTATATTACACATTTGATGCAATATATCATCAATATCTCGTTGTTAGACACTCAAGCGTGGGACGCTATATCAAGGCTCGTCCCCTGAAAATACCTCTAGCCATATGCATGTTAAGACCGAATGTTGAATTTATGGGACAATAATGTGCATCGGTTCTAATTACTATGTTGCAATGAAATAATTTCTATGTGTTTCTTATTACATATAAAGCTATCCCTGTAAATTTAATAAGAATCCGCAATAAAAAGTTTTCCAAGGTCTCAGGAGAAATTTACCGGAACCTGTAAAACGTGTCTTAAACGATAGGAACGGAGCTTACAAGCTGGAATGTTCCGTATTATGACTACGGTAGTTCACTAAATGTAATTTTCAAAGCAACCGACCAGGCAAATAACAATAATTAGAGAAGACCACTCACCTTATCATCAGAACTTTCTGGGTTAGGTTCTTCAGCTTCCGTTGGATTGTCGTCAGTAACCTTGAATGGTAGATTTGAAGAGTTAAGTTAAAGACAATAAGAAACCCTGTAAACTCGCACTCTTGAAGAATTGTGTCAAACAGAATAAAATGTGTATAAAAATACGGAGTAAACAAAACCAGAAACCATTAAACCTTGAATAAAATATATTTTATGTTAAGTAGCTTACTTAAAAAAATAAAACAGACAATTATTTTACATCTGAGGTACAGTGGGATTCACAACCAAATGGCGTTTTAAAACTTTAGAAATGTTTGATCTGTTCGATTTGAATCTCTCGCGGAGATTCGTAACGCTCGAAAAGGGCTCGCTCAAATTGGTTCGATGTCTGCCATTTGTTTGGCGATAAAAACGGCGATTAGTTAAACGCAGCTTTGAACCCCAAAGGGACGACCAAACTATTTTTGTTTTTTATTTGAAAGTTAAAATTTAATCAAAATAAAAGTTTGAAAGTCTAGTGTAGGGCCAATTTAGCCGTCGGACGAGATGTGAGGAAAAGGTGGTGGAATGCGATGCAGAGAGCCTAGATTTCAGAGTGGGTAAAATTCAAACCCTGAAGCGCGTTTCTAATATAATGGCGAAAACCTATCACTCATGGTCGCAACTGCGCGTGCGTTGAGTTGCCGCGGTGCTAGGAAGAAAGCGGGTGAAGAAGCGGAGATGCTTGCAGGCGATCAAAGCTTTTTGTCTCCTCGCAGCTCGTATCGCAAATGCGATACGTGACCCGATCGAGCAGTTGGAAACACAGTAATCTAGGCGCACTAATGCGACGTCACTTGTGCTGCTGCCATCTAGCGGGGGCTGTGCGAGACTCATAAGCGCAGCGGCACCAAGTTCAACTCTCCGCTTTACTACTGTTGTAGACATATGCGGTTATTGTGGCTATTATTATATATGGTTGTGAGCATATGCGGTGTGGCTCTGTAAAATAAAAAATGCGGCTGGTTTGGATAAATTTCTACCAAAACCTACCAAAACCGCGACTGGTTTGGAGAAATTTGTTCCAAGCGTTTGGTAATTTCGAAGACGATCATTTTACGACTAACAAAAGTGTGTTTTCAGATGAGTTCGGCCCATCATGTCCGGTGATCACTTTGAGTTTTGACGAAAAAGAAATCATTTGTCGACTCAGTGCCCAACAAAACAAACTTTTGTTTTGCAAAAGAAAAATCTTGTTTAGGCCCAAATAAATCTTAGCAGGCCCTCAGTCCGAAGTGCTCTGTGCGGATTTTGTGTTGTTGGCATTTTGCGCACCTCCCCCAAGACAACTGCTGTTCCTACGGGTCTAGAAATGTTTACTGACGAATTACGCGTAGGGAAGATGAACTCAAAGTATTTACCACAAAGTTACAACGTCGTTAGCTTGAGCAAAAAACAGAAAATGCAAACATGGACCTTTTGCACGATAGTGCTTAAATATTGATAATGTTTTTCTTCGTATTTATAAATGAGAGGACTTTTCAAACATTAGCAGAGTATTTCCCTACATTTTTTTCATATTTTCGCTTGATATTGTTGTCTGGCTAGTAGGACAAATTTACGGAGAAACTCATGGGACGATTTGACTAGCTACTGACTATTTTAAAGGTTAATTTAAAAAGACCAGCTTTGATTTTTTTCTCTTCAAAATTAACCTTAATGGTATGTACTAACAAAATCTACAAACAAATTGTTGCATTATTTGTGTGTCTTTGACATTATAACGCCGGAAATCTGGCCAAATTCAGGCTACCGCTGTGCGTCAATCGGACGTATACATACCCATAGCTGACAAACACACTATTCTTACTTATTGTAAAAAAAAAAATCACGGGAATGGTTACAAATAAACAAAGTGACAGCACAGTGCCGGACGATGGTTCTAAGGTCGAAATTCATAATGTCTTTTTGTTGAAAATAGTGTGCCGAAGCCGAAGCAATCGAGAAGCGCTATCATGCCGCATGCTTCGCAGGGCCTGTCTTCAATAGCCGGCGAGTAGCGTCTTCGGGCACACCATGTAAGGAAAGGGACCCTCCGCTTTCCACAAGTTCATCTTAGACCTTTGCAGGGCGGTACCGTTATTTGACTGGGCCGAACCCGCGGCGCCTACGCTTGGCGATGAAGCCGCCATTGGGACGGGTCTTAAAACACAAAAATGTTTGTTTCAGTGTACAGCTAGCGGAACGTAAAGAGCGTTCACTTTTAAGCTGATGGTCTGGAAGAACCTACGTGATTTTTGATATTTCTGTACATCGCCACGTGATCACGCTCCCGCTAATACCCACACAAAGCAAGCGGACTAGGTGATCAGAAAGAGAAGGCTGACAGTGCTGTACGAGTGTAGCTCATACCGCACTGTCAGCTAAAGGGACGTCGCAACGATATTCAGCTGGTATGTTTTCACTTTACATGACCTTACGATCTCTAGTGGGACCCAAGTATACTCGCACGCAACGCCCCTGAAAAATAAATTTCTATTTTGCGGTGTAATTGTAAGTATAAAAGCGAACATTTTCTTTCAATGTCTCCCTCTCAAAACGTGATAACGTAGCTCAGAGGTACCACTGTTGGCATAGTACCCCGAGGGTCGATATTGAAATGCAGATGATAGATTGAGCCCGAGCATTCCGTGAATATTCTGTTTGGGCTCGACAAACATTTGGGTAGTGGCTCCTGTCCAATCGCCGCAATGACGACAATACATGAACCCTAACATTGTCTGTAACTTGGCAAGAGTTCTTTGCATTGACAATTCCCACGCGTGGCTATGATGAACATTTGCGGAATATAATCGGCTTCAGATCACGTGACCGCTTGTTCTGGCTGTGAGTTGAGGGGTGAACGCTGCTTGTTTTTAATGCGAAAGGATTAGCTATCCCCAGGAGCGGAGCCGGCGGCATCTGTAACCACGAAAGAAACGCGAAAGAAGTGCACATTCTTCCATTGGCTGAACAAAACGGCTCCTAGGTAGCCATTGGCGGCTACTTCATGAGAGCGTGCGCTCGGCAGTAGTATAACCTCGGCAGTAGTATAACGTGGGTGTCCACGCCAGTACACCACAGACGAACTAAGAAAGGGGAAGAACGACATTCATGCTTTCGCGTTTACAACTTATAAGGAGTGCTAAGGTGTCCCCGGAATGTTTTGTTTTAATTGTTTCTGCGGCTACCTTTGCGTAGGAAGAAGAACTAGGATATAAATATCAGGGATTAATTTTTAAGCGGTATTTACACAAATAATAAATATTCTTGCACCGCCCCTTTAAGGGCGAATGGTGAATAGACGCATGCGGCACTCACGGACTACGATCACGATGATTCTGCCGGATGATCACCGAGAAAAAAAAATGAAAGCCGCTTACAACTCCCTGTAACGCCGAATTAGAGCGCAGCTCTTGAGGAGGAGGAGGGAAGGGCACGGGGGGGGGGTAAACTAACCAGGGGGGGGTCACGTGACCTTGGGGGTCACGTGACCCCCAATGCCGATGATGTCATCACTGACGTTACTGATGACGTCATCCGTGACGATGACGATGCGGGTACCGATGACGTCATTAGTGACGTCACTGATGGCTTCACCAGTGATGATGACGATGACGATGCGAATGTCGGTGACGTCATCAGTGACGTCGCTGATGACGTCATCAGTGATGATGACGATGACGATGCGGATGCCGGTGACGACATCAGTGACGTCACTGATGACGTCATCAGTGATGATGACGATGACGATGCGGATGCCGGTGACGTCGTCAGTGATGATGACGATGATGATGTGGATGCCAGTGACGTCATCAGTGATGATGACGATGACAATGTGGATGCCGGTGACGTCATCAGTGATGATGACGATGACGATGTGGATGCCGGTGACATCAGTGATGATGACGATGACGATGGCGATGCCGGTGACGTCATCAGTGATGATGACGATGACGATGCGGATGCCGGTGACGTCATCAGTGATGATGACGATGTGGATGCCGGTGACGTCATCAGTGATGATGACGATGACGATGTGGATGCCGGTGACGTCATCAGTGATGATGACGATGACGATGGGGATGCCGGTGACGTCATCAGTGATGATGACGATGACGATGTGGATGCCGGTGACGTCATCAGTAATGATGACGATGACGATGCGGAGGCCGGTGACGTCATCAGTGATGATGACGATGACGATGTGGATGCCGGTGACGTCATCAGTGATGATGACGATGACGATGTGGATGCTGGTGACGTCATCAGTGATGATGACGATGACGATGTGGATGCCGGTGACGTCATCAGTGACGATGACGTCATCGGGGGGTCACGCGACATCGGCGGGGGGTCACGTGACCTCGGGGGGTCACGTGACCTCGAGGAGGGGGTCACGTGACCTTGAGGAGGGGGTCACGTGACCTCAGGGGAGTCACGTGACCTCGGGGGGGGGGGGTCACGTGACCCCCCACGAGGTCACGTGACCCCGGTGGGGGGGCTCGCGCGGTGCATTATGGGACATTTCCCATGATGCACCGCGCGGTTACGCCGACGGCGACGGCGACGCCGACGGCGACGGCGACGGCGACGGCGACGCCGCTCAAGCCGGAAACGGGCCCCTAAGAGCTGCGCTCTAAAAAGCAGCTAAAGTGTTCGTTTTAGAGCGCAGCTCTTAGGGGCCCGTTCCCGGCTTGAGCGGCGTCGCCGTCGCCGTCGCCGTTGGCGTAACCAACGTCATCCCAAGGTCACTTGACCCCCAAGGTCTCCCCAAGGTCACGTGACCCCTCCCCAATGCTCACGTGACCCCAAAGGTCACGTGACCCCAAGGTCACGTGACTTCCCAAGGTCACCGCAAGGTCACGTGACACCCAGGGTCACGTGACCCCCAAGGTCACGTGACACCCAAAGTCACGTGACACCCAAAGTCACGTGACCCCCTATGACATCGTCGGTGACGTCACTGATGACGTCACCGGCATCCGCATCGTCATCGTCATCATCACTGATGACGTCACCGGCATCCGCATTGTCATCGT